ATAAGCTCACTCAAAGCCGGAAAATAAGACAACAAAAATATATTTAAAAAAATTCAAACAGCAGATTTGCGGGAAAAATATGACTCAGCCAATGGCGAAATTAGTTCTCTTCAAAAACCAAAAATGATCCGAGCCGAGCAAGAGCTCTGTGCAATTGCTGAATTATGCCATACGAGTTTCCAAGAAACCTACCGCTGCTGGTGGGACGGGAATTGAGCTTGCCGGTAATGGCACGGATGAGATGACTTGTGGTGGTGGAATAACAACTTGGACCGGCGGAGTTTGCTTCGCATATCCACCAAAACCTCGGCGGCCGCCTGATGCTACAGGTGATCCTGGAGGTAGCGGTGGTGTTCCAGCTGGTGGAGGCGGCGTGGGGATCTGCAAAACACAACTAATTTTAAAATTATTCCAATTTCGAAAGAGCAAAAAATTATTTTTGACAGATTTGATCCTTTTTTTGTTTTATTCACAAAAACGATGACATTTTATGCGCAAATGATTCGCAGAAAAGATATTTTGGACTGAGAATGCCTGCCCACTTTGGCACCCCCAAGCTCAGCTGGACTTAATGCAACACAGTTTTCGCGATGCGCCCGAAAATAACAAGATTTGTACTTTGTAGTCCTTGATAACGCCCAGCAAGATGCCATTCCCACACCAAAACCGGATGCCTAAGCTGTTCGGAAGTTGGACGGGAAGACAAGTATGTGTCCGTGATAATTTCGCATTTTCACCAGTACCCCCTACAGCTATGAATCTCTTAGCAAGAAAACTAAATTACACTAAATTTACTGCACATATCCACCGATACTACAGGGAGGAAAGCGGGGTGGGGCAACAGAACTGTTTTTGACACGGAATTAGGAAGGACAGTACGGCCGTAAAGGCCCTATGAGGATCATATCAACAAAAAAGTATAAACAGCCCGTCTGGAGGACTGTAAAGGGGGGACAGAAGAGACGGAACTTCAGTCCTCACTGCGTCCTTTCCCAGCTTAATAAAAACACCAGGGCTGATATAAGGAAATATCGAGGACTTCCTCTTCTAACAGAAAACGAAAAGAGCAGGACTGTTATGAGATTTCGAACAATACAGGTGTATTTTAATGGAAAATTTAACTCTTTTAGAAAAACTGTTCTTCGTCGCAGAAGCCTCCAAAGGGAGGATAATTTCTGACTGCCCGCTCTAAAATTAATGCATCTGCAAACAGCACCAGTCAATTTAAAAAAACTGGAATTTGAGCGTAATGAAAAACTATTTTTCCGAAAAACTGCGAATTAAACCTCACATTTTACATGTTTAGGCTAATTTGTTTGCCCTTTTGGTCTGAACAAATTTAATAAATGAAAAAATGAAAATGCTGAAAATTCACGTTGTCCGATGCTGCGCATGTTACCGAATTCAGTGTTATTGTTGTCAAAAATCCACTTGCCTGGTAGACAGGAGTGACAGTGGTGGGTGGTGGTGGTGGAGGGACTGTTGGGGAGTACAGCCCCGATGTGGATGCTGCTGCTGGCGGAGGGGGCGGGGTGGCTACTGCAACTGCAGGACGTGTGGCTATTCCGACCGCTGGTATTGCTGGTGCTACTGCAACAGGCGGTACTGTTGCTATTCCAACTGGTGGCACTGTGGCCACTCCAATCGGAGGCACTGTTGTTGGCGTCCCGTATGGCTGTGGCGACGAACCGTGTGCTACCATTGGAATCGCGG